ATTTCTTGGTTAGTTGATTAATTATATTTTTTACTAATAAATTTATCTGTTTGATAGATTGGTTAAGTCGATCGTCGACATTGTTCAAAAGATTGGAATGAACAATCAGTAGTTATTCGAGCTAAAGTTCGACAAGCTCTTCTAGATTTTGCTCGAACATGATGAAATCAAACGATTGCTTGGCTCTTCATGCACGAAGATTCTTTCTTCTATTTTAATGAATTATTTTCTTCGTAGATTTGGATTATTTTTGTTGTCTTAAAATTGTTGAGACATTAAAAGAAACAGAAAAAGAAAGTAAAAATATGTTTGGCATGTATTCATCACAACGAATGAAGGTATTTTAAAAAAAGTTCGTTATTTCTATTTCTTATTTCTCAATATTCATCGGATTGGCAAACAATTGTTTCAAATTGTGAAAAGAATTTTGTTTGTCTTGGTTTGTTATTTTTCCTTAAAAAAGAGATCTTCTTTCTTTGACAATATTCAATATTTGTAGTTGAATGCGCTCAACTTGTTCGATGAAATGTTGCTTTTGAAATTAATGCATTAAAAAAACAAATTGGTAAATGTCAACAAATTCTTCTAAGAATGTCATACACATCATGCAGAATTAGATAAAACTATTCATGAAATTGAAAAACAATATGCACAATTATGTGTTGATATGTCAATTAAAGTTAGTTTATTATTTTATTGAATTAGATTTTTTAAAAATTCTATTTAATTTAGGGTGATAATGTTCAACTAGAATTAATTCAACGCATTGAATATTTACCAAACATATGCAAACAATTAGCAAGTAGAGATAAAAGTTTCATTCCATTGTTAGAGCCCGCTCTTGAGTTTTATATAGAATTTAAGAAAGATTTTCATTCATCTTCGAAAATTAATCATGAAGAATTTGCACCTCTAATTAAATATTTAATTGAAAATGGAAATACAACAGTTTATCAATATCGAACTGATGGTGATGTGCCTGTTAATGTTGAACAACCACCGTTGAATTATAAATTTACAAAAGCAGTTGAAGTTAATGAACAAGAATCAAATACTATTTTGGGATTAGATGATGATTTAACAACATCAACTAATGGAATTGAAGTTAAACAAACAGCAAATCAAACTGATGTTATTGATTTTGATATTGTATAAAATCAATATTCAAATTTTCCTTTATTATTAATATTTTTCTTTATTTAGGAAGCAGAAATATATTGGTCTGGAATTGATACAGTACCGGAATTACTTGATCTAGTTCTTACATCAAATGGTAATCATCCAAATTCAATTCCTGATACTCTTAGAGAAGTTGCTACAAATGGATCAACTTTTCCAAGTATTTTATTTTAGTTTTTTATTGTCTTCAGAATTTTTTTTCTTTGTAATTAGTTGATGATGGTATTGCTCGTGGTAATGATACACTAACATTATTAGAAAATCGTTCAACAGATACATTATTTATTCATGAACTTTATCGAGTTTGTTAAATTACCTTCGAAAATATAAATAAATTTTTATTCTTTTGAACTTCAATCATTTCTCAAACAATGTGTTAATGAATATCATGTCAATGAAACTATTCTTATGACATTTATCATACAAAATGCTCCAGCATCAATATAAAAAAATCAATGAAAATGGTAAGAAAAACAGATCAAAATTATGATCTTTATTTTTTATTTAAGATTTAAAAACTTTTTAAAAAAAATATTGATTTGGTATCTACATCCATCAGTAATCGACAATTAGATCATTTATTTTCAATGCGTGATTCATATAAATTTGTTGATCGTCTTATACATTGTTTTCAAAAAAGGCAAAATTCTGAGTGACCAGATTTCAATGCTGCAGAAATCTTTTTTCCAGTACACGACCAATGCGTTTTTTTCTTATTTAGCACCTTAAATCTTTTATTAAAAAAAAACAAAATATACCAGAAGATATAGAGTGACAAACTCTACAATCTATAAAGTAAAGCTTATTTTACTTGTGTACTTTTTCTTTACAAAAAAAAAGAAAAATTCTGTGCCATTAATTTTCGACGCTGCGAAAAGATAATACGAATGAGGCATTTCTTTTTCTTATTTCATCTTTTTATCACCTAATATGTTTTTATTAAAAAGAATAAAATATACCACAAGATGCAGCGTGAAAAGCTCTACAATCTGTATAGGTTATAAAAAGATGAAATAAAAAAACAGAAAAATTCTCGGTCGTGTTATCTTTTTGCACGGTTGAATTTGGTCGCTCAAAATTTTAAGCATTTTGAATAGTGAAAAGTGAAACTATTAAAAAAAAGCGGTTCTATGTAAATTGTAGAGCTTTTCACGCTACATCTTGTGGTATATTTTGTTTTCCAATAAAGCGTACTAGATGACGAAAAAATAAAATACAAAGCGCGGCCATTTATTGTGGCTCACCCGTTATGTTTGAGGAATTGGTTTTATCATTGTACACAAATGAATAAAGCAGATGAAAGAAATATCCATAATATATTAAATTATTATTTCATCGTATAGAAGAGAATTTTTCTGGTGACACACAAAATACTGTGGAATTTATTCGAACTGATAAAACAACTATTAGAAAGAGATTCACTAGAAATCTCAATGAATGACTCCTTTTATGGTTTGAATATCCGATTATTTCAAAAGTTTCTTTATCGAAAGGAAGTCGATTTGATTGTTTATGCAAAATATAGGATGATAGTGTAAGAGAGAAATACAAAGAACGTATTTGAATATTTGACTTTGCATAAGCGTGTTTGCAGATGATTTTCATTTACTCGTGCAATACTGTTATTCGATGTGTCAACTAAATCGGTCATAGTTGAGAATAGATCGATCTCTGTGAATCTGTATAATGAAATTATCCTTTATCAACATTTGTTATCGTGTAATGTGTTCGTCAAAGACTTTAAAATCTTCTTTTCAATAATATAATTATAGATTTAATATTCTTCAAAAATTAGAACATATATCCAATTATTTGAATGTTATTTCTTTTATTTTGAGACTTTGGTTTTATTGAATGTTATTCTAGGCATTAAATATATAGAATACAATCGATTATGTATGCAGTAGTTTGTTATTTATTATGATTGAAATATATTTTAACTTTCTCATCGCATTTGTTTTTATTCAAATGATTTACACAAGAACAATATTTATAAAGAAGGAAAATATGAATGAAAGTTTTGTGGCGGAACAAATAGTTCAAATGTAACTAAAGATTTTATTTTAGCACAATTGAGACGTGTTGTATCATTAGTAAAATAATTTGTCACATTTGTTAATGTTTCGTAGTCAATTATGAGATTTGTCAAACAAGGTAGACGAGTTATTTTGTCAGAAAGAAACTGTATCACATAGTCATTGTGTACATTGAAAATATCGAGTGTCAAAAGACGATTAAATGTAATCAATGTAGACGAATGATACTGTTCATTTTTTTGTGGTATATCATTACGTATAATCAATTGTTGAAGAAAAGGAAAGTCTTGAGAGATGATTTGGAATAATTTGTGTTCAAATGGACGTACATCCTTCATTGATAACAATCGAACTTTATCAAATCTTCCACCTTGAAAACAACTACCCATAAATAAGAAATCGTTGAATTGATATGGAAGAGAATAAACATGACAATTGCCTCGGTTATTCATGAATTTATCATCAAAACATGTATCAAATAATTGAATTCCTCTTTTAATGAAGCTATTTCGAATGTCATCATTTGATGGACGATCTATTCCAATATCATAGTTGATAATGTAAGTATGTATACTGAAGATAAATTTGTTTAGTCGTGGCATATAATTAAGAACTTCATCATATAATTGATTACCATCAATATAAGTGCATATAGGTCTTAATACTGAAAGAAATAACGTTAGTTCTTCAAGATTTAACATTCGACGAAGTAATGGCACAACTTGGTTGTCATAATAAAATGTACGCCAATCTGTAGCTAATGAAAAACATTTTAATTTGACAAGTTTTTTCTAAAGAAAATTAAATAATCAATAATATTTCAAAGACAAATTTGTTTCCATTCAATAATCACATTTATACTTACTGTATTATCTATCATTGATGATGAACGGTTTATTTGACTAATACGGATAATCAACGTAGATAAAGATGGAAGACATCCATTAAGAAGATAAAGACAATCATCAAAAGTATTAACATTTATTGTCAATTTAGTAAGAGTTGAAGATAAACAATGTGTATATGAAATATTTGAAGATAAAATTGTTATATATTTTCCTGAGGATTTTTGAAGATAAGTTAAATCACTTAAACATTTACTAACGAATAGTATGGTTAGCAAAGTATTTGATTCACTTCTATTAGTTTTTTCTACATTTTCAATCTTGATATCGACAGTAATATGTGTTATTTGATTTTCAAGAAGACGTATCATGGTTTTATCTTAAATGTAAATAAAAAGTATCAATCATTCATAAAATCAAATCAAATTCATCGCTATACCTGATAAATATTGTGAGAGTATTTTTGGTTGAAAATTGACAAATGATAACGAATAAAGTTGAGGATAATGAACAGTACTAAAAACACGTTCCATAGAAAGTGGTTCGAGAGTAAATTTAGTTACTTTATCATTAATTCGAGGTAAGATTTTCGAACAAATTCTATCTATTATGTGAGTATCTACTGAAAAATTATGAATATCATCTCGTTTGATCACCAAATCGAAATGATGTATATATAGAGAATCAAGTGCTAATCGATCAAATCGTTGATTTACATCTACTAATGAATAGAGCATATCGACCATATTCAGTTTATTGAAAATATTACGTAACATTTCATCTGGTAGATCGAGTATATTTATATCGTTGTTATTTAAAATGTCCATGTCTAATAATTATCTTTCACTTCAGTCATTCTCATCTTCTTCCATTCTATATATATATATATATGTATATACAATATGTTATTTTTCTCGGGGCCGTCTGCAACAATAATACTGATATAGAGGTGAAAAAAATAGAAACAATAAAATTGAATTAAGAAATGTGATTGGTGTTTCTACGTAGCAACATCAATCAAATTTCTTAATTCAATTTTAAATTTTTAGTGTGTTTGACCCTATTGTCATGTTATGTGATGATGAATGCTTGATGCTATTTTTCTTTCTGCCTACATTTTTTTTCATTCAGGAGGAGAAAAAATCTGCACAGTCACTTTTTGATAATATAAGTGCATTTATTATATATCAAATGCATTTTTACCAAGTAGTGTCATGTTTAGATAAAGTTGAAATAAAACACTCAAAATATTTTAAATTTGTTTCGAAATTGTTTTTCATCAAAGAACAGTATTGATATACTTTGTTTAAACCATATAAACATTATAATAATATAAAAATGACCGTGTATAAATTGTATATATTATTGTTCATTTTGTTTGTATAACTTTCATAGTCGTTTTAAGTTGAAAATCGAAGTATTTGAAATGAATACATTAAAATATTTATCAACACTCATACTACCATTGGCATTGTCAAATTTTCCACAATAATTTGGTGGAGAAAAAATTGTTAGTAATTGACGTTTAAGGGGCCCCCTTAAAAATTGAATTTTTTGAAGAAGTGTGAAAATTGAGTTTCTGTCGTAGAAAAATAGCCCAAAGTCTGCTCTTTCATAATATATATAGGTTTTCTAAAAACCTTCACATTTACATGGATTTATTGAGCAAGATTTCCACCGTGCTACCTAGTGTTATAAAGAACTTCAGAGACTTTTAAAGTCTTTTTATTTGAAAGATTTATAGTTTTTTTCTAGTACCAGCATTGAATATATCATTCAGCACAGTGGCCATTGTTTTTATATTCAATCTTGAAGAATTAACAAGTGTTCTGTGTATATCCGGTGAAACTCTGAAGAGTCTCTATGAAATAGTTCACTTAACCTATATCGACACAGTCCCAATACCAATGATTTTGTTTTCTTTTCTGCGTCCGCTTGGAGTGATATTTTCAGGAATCAGTGATATAAATGATTTATTCGGTAAAAGTTTCAGGTCGATATGTTGAACTAGACTGTAATTTTAGCTTGCACACAGCATCCCTATAAACTCTCAAGAAAACCTTTTTAAGCAGGATCAAGAGTAAAATTCATAAGGTTCCGCCATTAGAAGACAGACAAAGATCGGAATTGTTTCAAATTAAAGCCCACACCTATATGCAAGGTTTGTCCGAATAGAATTCTGAAATTGCCTTCTGTTTATTTTCTATGAGCATTGTAGTAGGCTTAGGTTTAAAACAACTCTAAGAAAGTTGGCTCTAATGATATTGAATGCCACTTTACTCAGCCTCCGGAATTAAATATGAGAAATCTGGTTGAATAGAATTTTACTGTGGCTTGGAGCTTCAAAATAAAAACAAATATTCGTTATATCTTAAACCACTAAGGAGGAGCTTACAAATTTTAGGTTAAAAACGCTGTTCTGAGAAAATT